TTCCCACGCTGTGTAAAATGACACAGAGCACTCTGGTTGAATTTCAAGCGAAACAATCAGGTGCTGTGACAGGTAAATGTAGAGACTTACTTGTCAGTCTCTTCATTTACCTGTCAGAGCACTCTGGATGGCTTAAAGCAACCAATCAGAGTGCTCTGAGCCTTTATAAGCCTTTCCCCGCCCTGCGCAGCTCAGTCTGCGCGGAGCAGTCGCCGGGTGAAGATGGATTAATTATTTTAGCGTCAGGTTTTTTCTTTTTCGTCTTTTCTTTTGCGCTCGAGTTTTTATTTTATTTTTTTACAAGTTCAAGGGGTATGATGTTTTTTATTTGGCCACAGGCTGCTCACTGTTTAATAGATATGCCCCTACACGCGGTATAGCTCCACCCTTTAAACCAGTGGTAAGCACTACTCTCTCACGTTGGTTGAAATGGCTAATTGGCAAAGCGGATATGGACACTGTAACGGAGCTCCTTGTACCCCGACTGAGTACCCTCCGTTGACGGATGCTCCTAGCGCTTCCTGAGGACTCCAAGCACTGCAGCAGACACCACAACCACCGCAGACTCCGCAACCGCTGTCTTCCTTCCACCCTGGATCCGCTTCTGTCCTCCAGGACTGTGTGGGAAAGAACTCTTCCTTCCACCCTGTATGAACCTCCAGCATCCAGGACTGTGTGGTGAAAACCCCTCCTCCAAGGAGAGCGTGTCAGGAACAAGCTCTTAAAAGAGCTAAGTGACCCAAGCTCAGGGGAGCATGCAGAGCATAGCAATCCCCAGTGTGATTATAACAGCTCCCTCCAATAACGAGACAAGGCTACGTTTAGAGGGATCAAGAAGAACTGTCAAAACCTTTATTTCCCTTGGGACCAGCTAATAGAGTCACCACAATAACATTGTTGTGAAACCTCAATAAAATCACAAACAGTCAAACCATATCAAGCAACACACAGTGACTTATCACAACACAATGGCACATTTTTAAAGGGGTGGGGGGAGACAATATTTAACAGTAAATATCTCACCTGCCTGCAGAATTAGCAATATACAAATCTACCCGAATATGCAAATGAACCAGTCTTGCAATTCAGGTAGTGCATATTGCTGTTGCTACCAACAGAGGGCACTAGACAAGCTCCATAGCCAAACCCACCTAGTTGGTAGCAAACCTCAGCAATACAAGAGAGCAGGCAATACATTACACAGTACACACACACACACTATAAACAATTACATAACACACACCCTGCACCTATAATGGGTACAGGGTGACTAAAACATAAGATAAATAAAGCAGCCTGCATAAATAGTTTGTCTGAAGGTAGACTAGGGGCTTTAAAGCCAGATACATGAAAGAGTCATAGTCACAGGGGAGGAGGCTGGCAAGTAGGCCTCTCCAGGACCAAGTGGCGAAGGGCACTTCGTCACAGACACCTCTATATTTGGCGCGCAGTCCGTGAGGGGCGCCTCGGCCTCTGCAAATATCACATCAGGAGCACGCTTGGAGGACCTCATGAAGGTGGCTGATTGGTCCAGGGAATCGACATTCCGAGAGTTTTACTTTCGCCCGACTACACATCCGTTTACGGCAGTGGCGGACCAGCTTTAAACTTTCAAATACGAGCCTCCGTGTCTTGTAATAAAATTACATGATTTTGCTATTGCATGACGAAAAGTCATGATTTTAATAAAGACATGGAGGCGAGTATTATCCCACCCAATTTGCTCTGGTATGTCATGTTTATTACTCTGCAAATTTTTTCCCACCCAGATCATTGGCACGAGCCCGGAGACGATGAGGTGGTAAGTGGGGCAAGATTTTCATGTGGGTATGTTGTGCTTTACTATGGAAATAAGGACATTAGACTAACATTTGGACGAGATAATTGCACTTGGCTTGTTCGACCTTGATAACTGTACATAGATCAGATTTAACCCATGGGTTCCTGTCGTTTGTTTTCACAGCCTGCACCGAATCCACACGATTCGACTAACTGGAGACATGCGACCACGTCTGATGGAACAGTCTTCTCCAGTGGGAATAGCTCATCAAAGCCTCGTTATGAACCAGCTTCCATGGGACTCACAGTTGATGCGTGTTACTGAAAAGTTATATGTTCTGTTAAAAGTTTCTTACATTTTCTGTACTCTCAGCATGTTAATTCCGTGTAGCACCTTCAGAAAGAGGGAATTTGGAGGGCGGACCAGGCTATTATACTGGACACTGGGGGAGGGGGGGCGTGGCCTATGTATGAGGCATGCACTACCTTTGCTTTTTTTATTCTGTTAATGTTCTTTGCCGCTGTTGTGGACAGTAAAGGAAGGGATATGCAAATACTCGCCTCCGTGTCTTTATTAAAATCATGACTTTTTGTCATGCAATAGCAAAATCATGTAATTTTCTTTCGGTTTCTAGTGTCTTCCAGGTGCGATGACATCATCACTTATGATGCCCGATAACGTCGTGCATTCCATGGCTGCGATCCCGGAAGTGGGTGAATTTCATAGCACATGGTGCTTGTTTGTTTACAAATTCACATGTTTAAAAGCTGGGACAAAGGTGGGAGGCGGGGGCGGTACTGGGAGGTGAATTGACTTCATAAAAGATATATGTAAAAACAAACAAAAAACTATGGCAATACTGAGTGGTATAAATGTATGTTATAAGATTAATGTAGTGGTTCTGGTGTCAGTGTCTACAGCCTGTCCCTGCAAGCTTATTTGCCTTTTTTTTAGTGAAAAGGTGGTGTTTACATTGATGTCTAGGAACACCTCTAGTGACAGTCACTCAGGGAGCCACTAGAGGTGCTTCTTAGTCAAGTGCTGCACAATGTGCAGCAAATACGCTTAGCATCTCCACACTCTGCATGGAGACACAGAACGCTGCATACATAGATGCATTGATTCAATGCATCTCTATGAGAAGATATTGATTGGTGCAGCACATGTGCAATAGCCTTCCCAGTAGGCGTTTTAAGATCTCAGCCATGTAGGCAGGGCCAGCAGTGACAAGACCAGCATGGTGAGGGAGAAATTGTAAGTTTACATACCTTTTTACCGAACAGAGAGGTGGACCAGTCACAAAAACAGCCACTCCAGCAATATAGTGTTAGGAATATGTGTTTGTATTTCTAACTCTTTAATTTTAATTTAAAGTCTCTAGATGTTCATGCTTAATGGATATCAGAAGGGGACTGGTTTGTTTAGTGATAGACTCTGTTGGTAGTGGTTTCCTATTAAACAATAAAACATGGTGAAGAGTCGATTTTTTTAAACATGGGAATAGAAAGTTGAATGACAGTCTTTTCATCCATGAAGAACCTACAGCCGCCAATGTCTAGAATGGCCTTCTGTGAGTATGTTACATAGTTACATAGCTGAAAAGAGACTTGCGTCCATCAAGTTCAGCCTACCTCACATTTGTTTTTTGCTGTTGATCCAAAAGAAGGAAAAAAAACAAAAAACAGTTTGAAGCACAATTTTGCAACAAGCTAGGAAAAAAATTCCTTCTTCACCCCAGAATGGCAGTCAGATTTATCCTTGGATCAAGCAGTTATTACCCTACATTGAAAGATTATATCCTTGAATATTCTGTTTTTGCAAGTATGCATCTAGTAGCTGTTTGAACATCTGTATGGACTCTGATAAAACCACTTCTTCAGACAGAGAATTCCACATCCTGATTGTTCTTACAGTAAAAAACCCTTTCCTTTGCCTTAGACGAAATCTTCTTTCTTCCAGTCTAAACGCATGGCCTCGTGTCCTATGTAAAGTCCGGTTTGTGAATAGATTTCCACACAATGGTTTGTATTGGCCCCGAATATATTTATGTAATGTTATCAAATCCCCTCTCAGGCGACGTTTTTCTAAACTAAATTGGTATAAATTTGTTAACCTTTCTTCAGAGCTGATATGTTCCATTCCTTTTATTAATTTTGTAGCCCGCCTCTGCACTTTTTCTAGTGCCATAATATCCTTCTTTAGAACAGGTGCCCAAAATTGCACAGCATATTCAATATGGGGTCTTACCAATGATTTATAAAGAGGCAAAATGATATTCTCGTCCCGAGAATGAATGCCCTTTTTCATGCATGACAATACCTTACTGGCCTTGGCCACTGCTGATTGACATTACACATTGTTGCATAGTTTGTTGTCTATAACAATTCCCAAGTCCTTTTCGTGTGTTGTACAATATCTCATACCACACAATGACACAATAAACTTGAACTCCACAATCTGCTGAGAATAGTGTGTTAGCCTCATGACAAATGTTCGGTTCAGTGTGGGTTTCATCAGACAAAACAATCAGTGCTTCTTGTATTTCACCGAGATTATGTCTTAGCGGTTTAAGACAATTTATAAGGCATTCCCACCGCGTGGTGCACAAAGGCTTTAAAGTGAGGCCAGAAACGTGGTCAGACAAAATTTTCCATCTCTTTACGGATCCTGAGAATTGAACATAAAGGCGCTGAATGATCTCAAATAGTTGCATCGATTCCTTGCAGGAGCGTACTGCATCTCCAATGACAGCCACATGGTACAAATACTGCTCTTGGGTTTATGTTTAAAATTTTGGACTGAACTTTGTTGTTTTTTCCTGCAATATTGGCTCCATTGTCATAACCTTGTCCACGACAATTATCAATGTCCAAATTTTTTCCTGAAAGAAATTCAAGGAGGAAATCACTTAATCCTTTTCCAGTTGTATTCTCTACTTTATTGAAACCAAGGATGTTTAATGTAATGTTGCTTTACTTGAAAATTTCCAGAAAAGACATCTGCTCCTTATGGCTAATATCTGGAGTGCAATCAATTATAATTGAGAAATATTTTGCATTTGTGCAGAGTTGTAAAATATCCTCAATTACCTGTTTTGCCATAAGATTTATTCCATTTTGAATTGGTTTTCCGCAGTAGTAGTCTGCAGTTTCTTTTGATACCACCCTGCGTAAGTGTTCTGCCATCACACTGTCATATTTTCCTAATAGTTCCACGAGACCTAAAAAATGTCCATTATTGGTTGTAAAAAGTCGATCTGAAGAGCCTCTGCTAAAAACTGGACAATATGTAACAGCCTCTCCATCACAGATCTCCAGTGTCGCCTTTCACGGCTCATGAGATATTGATAGTTTTGGTCAATCGCGTGTTTTGATTTCCATCTCAGTTGTGTTTCAGTCCACATCTGCTGGGCTGTAAAATGACCACTGGAGGTTTCATGCGATTGCAAAATATTTGACATATGTGTCCAGTCATCTGATCCTCCAAGGGCAAGCGATGTTTTAGGATTCTTATCAAATAATTTACAAGAGAAACAGAATACTTTATTGGCAGATGAGGAGTATACGAACCATCGCCGTGTTTGTTCTTCACCACTGTCTAATTTTCTTTTGTAGAAAGCTGAAGAAAAGTGCCGATTATAAGCATCTTTTTTAAAATCAACATCTTGTACAGGACCAACATCTAAAATACTATCAATATTCTTAGAAATCAATTTTGGCCACAAAGCGGGATCTGTGAAGGCTGAGTTTTCACACGTGCTTATTGTTTCATCAAAAGCCACCGAGCCAGAAGGTGTATTAGAATCCTCTTCCAAAGATGTTTTAGATGTTGAAGGCTCACTGAGCTTAAGATGCACATCACTTTGGCTACTGCAGCTTTCTTCATCTTTTTCTTCTGTGGTTTGTAAGCCACTAGGTGTTGGTGTTCCAAAATATTTTTTTATTACTCCAGCACTCTTTTGGTCCTCCAAATCCTTAAGGACCCTTCGTTTTTGACTTTGAGCACCTGACAGTTTTTTGGGATCCATAATGCTCCTACACGATACAATTTCCTAAATGTAGTACGCCAACATTTGCGCCAAATAAAGCATAGATAAACAAAATACCAAATAACATAGGGCTGCACTAGATACCACCTAGTGATCAACTGAATAATACATAAAACCCTGTACTGCAGGTATAGATCAACTGAATAACCAGTATACACAACCAGTATAGCAGATGTAGATCAACTGCATTATTCATACAAATCCTTTAGTCCACAAAGTCAGTTTATGTATTGTAGAAACGAGCAATGTTGTCAGTACACTATATTTAACCATTTTACAACATTAAGCATGTATAGCCCCTCCCTCATTTCTTCAACTCACGTCTTTTTTTGGCCCCCTCTAGACAATTTCAGGCACACAATATGCCGCCTTCACCCCCTTGGTCACCCCTTCAATAAAAGCCCTGCCCCCTGCATCAGACCCTGTCAGGGCTTACCTGAGTTGGGAGTCCAGCAGGCAGAGATATATGCTCACCCTTGCAAGTAAACACAGGCCGAGGTGGTCAGGTAAGAATTCACCTGGCCTGCAGGGCCGGACTGGGGATACAAAGCAGCCATGGAAAAAAAATCTATGGCAGCCCCATAAGTCATTGCGCCACATATTGTCACATGTAATATGCAAGGCTATGTCTTATGTCCTGCCACCCCAGATGATTGAGTAATATATATATATCTCAAATATATATTGCTTTTTCTAATATAAAATATTGGTCCTTTCAAAGTAAAACGTTTAATTATACAGTAAGCATACTCACATGCAGACAGACAATCTCACTGACCTAAAAATACAAGGTCACTCACTGGCAGACACACACACACACACATGCAAGCAAGCTCATTCACTAGCAGGCACGCACACACAGCTATGTGTAGTGGTTCTGGTGTCTATAGCCTGTCCCTGCAGGCTTTTCAATGTAAACACTGACTTTTCAGAGAAAAGGCAGTGTTTGCATTGCTTCCTAGTGACACCTCTAGTGACAGACACTCAGACGGTCACTAGAGGTGCTTCCTGTGTCAGTGCAGCACCTACATTCAGGGCCTCCACGCTCTGGAGGCGCTGAATGTTCCCCATAGAGATACATTGATTCAATGCATCTCTATGAGGAGATGCTGATTGGTGTAACGTTTTACAGCCAATCCTATGGCAAAGCATTGGTTTGGCTGAGTCATCAAGCTTGATGATCTCAGCCATAGAGGCAGGGCCAGTCGAGGGGA